TTTAATATTATTATTATTATTACATTCAGGAAAAAAAATGTATTTAATCTAAAACAGACAAACATTTACAAATGTTTTTATATTATTTCTACATTTATGGAATAAAACCAAAATGAATTTTATTAAGAATAAAATAAAGAAAATATAAAAAAATATATATACATTTTGTTTTAATTTTACTCTTACTATATAAGAGTAAAAGAAAAAAAGAAACGAGTTATTTTTAAAATAGATATTATTTATGAATTTACTCAGGGGTCATTACTGTAAAATTGGAATGAGATTTTCTTTTGGGGTTACGTAAATTATGACTTTAAGAGCAGAGTATTTTGGTTGAAATATACATAAACTTTTTTTTTTTATATCTCAAATCACATCCTTTTGCAAAGAAATTACTTATTTTTCAGGGTAACTTTTACCTCCTATTTTATTCCTTAGCCCCCCCTCTGCCCCGCTGCTATGGCCACACTGGCCCATGGGAGGACTGTGAGGACCAGGACAGCAGATCAGGGAAGGCAATTCTGCAGGATTCACTCAGAGACTTCTCCGCCTCTGTATACGCCGAACTTAAAGGCTCAAAACCCCAAACCAACTTGATCTTCTCCCCAACCAGCATTGCTGTAGCTCTTTACAACCTGCTATTGGGTAAGACAAATAATGGAGGAACGTCATACAGTCACCAAAAGGCTACACATTGTACTTTGTTGAGCTGCTGAGCCTCTTACTCCTCTCTCTTTGCATCACCCTCTTTCCAAGGTGCTCGAGGTGAGACCAGAACACAGCTGGAAGGTGCTCTTAGGATTCCTGCAGAATTCTCCTGTGTGCATTCTGAGACAAAGAAACTGAAACAAGTGATAAAGGACACACTGAAAATGGCCTCTGCTATCTTTTATTCCCCAGGTAGCCACAGTAAAAACTCACTCATTAGCTATAGATAACCACTCACCTTGTGAAAAAGAACTACATGCTAAATACTTTAAAAGGAGAGTTATAATGGATAATATTTTCTTAAAAATACACTGAATGTCATTTTTTTCAGTTTCAAAAATTCAGTTTTATAGAATGAATTGAAAATATATTCTAGTTTAAATTGATATTGAATGCACTCTGTTAATCTTAAGAGCGCTTATCTGACGCACTTAATTAGGACTTACGTATGTACATCTTTATAACTAATTTCAGAATTCTGTTGCTTTTGAAATTTGGTTAATGTACTGCAGAATTTATTGACATTTATTATGGTAAACTAAAATATACTTTAATGTACACGTGATGAAAATTCAATTGAATACATTTTAAATATATATAGCACACAGTTTACTGTAATTGAGTACTTTTAGGTGTTAGTCAACACATTATAATAAGTGTGCTGATTATTAAAGATTATTAAAACAGTGATTTACAGTAAAACTATTCATTTGACATTTTTACAAACTGCACTTTTTAAAAGTGTACTTAAGTGTGTTTAGAAACAGTCATGAAAGTCTACTCCGTTTACTGTCCACTTAAGTGTTTAATTAGTTTATTATCTTCAAGTACAAGTTTTTAATGATTTAATTTTAGGATTACAATTAGGCTTACTTCTTTTTCACAAGGATATATGTTGTCAAAATAAAAGCATTGCTGTAATAACATCGGAATCACATATTCTGGACTTAATTTTAATACTGCCTAAATTAAGACGGCAGTCATATCCATAGCCTGAAGAGTTTTGTTTCCACATAGAGCGACAGTTGGGAGAAGCTTTTGTCAACCAATCAAATGAGTTCTATGATGCCATGCCAGAGAAGCTGACCAATGACAGCAATCAAAACGTGATTCTCATCAATCAATGGGTGGCAAAGACGACAAACAATAAAATCACTGAGTTAATTGATTATGTGGATCCCACCACCTCGTTTGTTTTGTTAAATGCTGTCTACTTTAATGGTAAGTGACATTATATATCTGAATACTGTACCTGTTTATTTTGTATGACACTTGTCATAAAGTTTGTTTGTATTTCTTTGTGCTTTACAGGTAAATGGAAGACAGTTTTTGAATCAACAAATAAACGGGAAAACTTCATGAAGTTTTCAGGTGAGGTCATAGAAGTGCAGACTCTCTACAGCTCCAAGTATAACCTTCAAATGGGCTACAACAAAAAATTACAGGCTGAGGTAAGTGTCGCAATTAATGCACAAAGGTCATTATTAGGAAATGGTGCCGTTTGTGTGCATTTGAGACTATTTGACTTGATACCGATATTATTAACTGAATACTTAACTTAGTTACATTATTTTATAGATTTACCTTGTTTAGTGTATAAGGCAAATTATTATAAAACATTCTTTGTTTTTCTCTTCAAAATATCAGCCAATTTGCATGCCCCCTTTCACCATATTTAAAAAATATATATATTTATTAAAAAAGTGCTATGTAATATGTTTTTAGATAGTTCTGAGGCAAGTTTCTCTTAGTCTTTATTCGTGTCTCATCAAGCTCTATTATGGGAAAAATATCAGTGATTACATTTATTTGATTTTTTTCTATAAAATTTTGCTTTGGCAAGAAATTAGATACTATTATTTACTAGATACTAGTGTGGTGCATTTCAAAAAGTATACCACATAAATAAAAATTACATAAAAAATGTTGAATTAAATAAAATGATGTTATCTAAATAGAAATAATTAAATAATAAAATATAACTAAAAGAAAAAAAAATCCTTAATTTTACATTGCATAAATGACACCATTTCCTGTGAATGAATTATAAGCACTTGTACGTATTTGTACAAGTACAAACACATACATTGCAGAACTATTTCTTCAGGTCGGAAAGTTCCCTCTTACGGGTAAAAACAGCCTGTACATACTGATCCCGCGCACAACGTCAGAAGAATCCTTTGTATTGATGGAGAATAATATAAACAAAGATTCTATTGAAGCAATGGTATCTGAGATGAATAAAATCCCAGCCCAAACCGCTGAGGTCATACTGCCTAAAATTAAACTGACAGTGGACACACAACTGGAGGACTTACTGAGGAATCTGGGTAAGAAAGTCACTTAATTTACTCCAAAATGCTGCATCATTTACTCATCTTGTTCCAAACCTGTAATCCATTTTCTCTCTTTTTTTTTTTATACATATATACACAATCACATTTTCCATACAACTTAAATATTATCAGAAAATCATGCACTACAATATATTCCAAGTCATATATTAACTTTTTGAGAAGAAAATTTTTCACTGAAAATATTTTGAAAATGTTTTGGCCTGTGTCTCACTCAAAGCTATGATATGGCTTCAGATAACTTGGAATATAGTGCAAAAGTCATATGGACCACTTTTATTATATGTTTGTGATCTTTTTTTTTTTGGTGCTTTTTATTCCTTTTTGGCAACAATGAATGGAAAAAGGAAGCATGTACACTTTAAAAATTCTCATTTTGTATTCCATGGAAAAAAAAAATAACAGCATGCATATTTGGAACAAATGTGGATGAGTAAACCATGACCGAATTCTCCTCACCTCTCCTCAGGTTTGTCAGATCTCTTCCTAAATCCTAACTTGTGTGGAATATTTCCGGAGGAATCTGAATCATTGATCTCAGATGCCCGTCACAGCGCCTTTCTCTCACTGACGGAGAAGGGAGTGGAGGCCGCGGCAGCCACAAGCATCTCTTTTTCTCGCTCTTTCTCTTCTTTTGCAGCTCTACAGCCCTTCGTTCTGATACTGTGGAGCGATGAGGCTGGCGCTCCTCTTTTCATGGGAAGAATAATTAATCCAATTAATCCATAAAAAGAGAGAGATAAAAAGACATCACAACAGTGTCACGCCACAAAAAAATAATCAAACTTTCTTTTATCACAAACAAATGCATTTATGTAACAATATCATGTTATGCATAGAGTTAGAATGCATGCAGAATCTCGGTCATTAAAGATGTACTTTACATCATGCATTCGTTATTTATTTTCCATGAGATGACAAGAAATCTGATGCATGAAAGATCATAAGACTTGAACGCACAAAACTCGCTCTCATTTCCAACAGCCACTGTTGCACCAATTTATTTCGGAGACGCAGTTACAGGGACCGACACACGATGGCAGTCACATCACATGTTCCACACAGACAGTCAACTAGGACACGTGAGCGAGATTTGAATAATCCTCCTTCAATTTGACCCCTTGAGTCCCATCTTGGCTGGCAGGTGGTGCCAGTCCATTATCTAAATGCCATGCTGTTTCATCAAAGGTAGCCTGGATTGTCCCAGTTCACTGAGCAAAAACAAATACCCTTAGATGGGCCCATTGATGGATATTAGGACAAACATAAGCACTGCAGATCGGTGGTCCATCAACGCATATGTGACATTCACTTGGCATGCAGCAGCTTAGAATAACATTTGATCATTATACACCGCTTAGGCCATTCATTTGATAACTCAAATGTAAAAAATAATAAAAAAACAAAACATAGAAGAACTCCAATTTAGGAACGGCGACGGGGGCCATGAAAGCACAGGGTTAACAATACGTTTTTTTGTGCAATTAAATGCATAAAATGTCTTCAATCAAGACCAGATGAAAAGTAGATTCAGGTAGCTGATTTACAGAATCTAATAAACAGCTAATAAATGCAATCACACAGATACAATTACAGCCGAAATTCCCACGCATGGCAAGAAATGTGCATCGTTTCACAGATCTTATGTCAACACATTGTCAGGACGACAAAGCAAGTGTGACAAAACGAACCGACCCAGATTTTGTGTTCTGACCCAAAGACGTACTTGACAGGTAGTTTGTCCATCGAAGGATTCGTTTGATTGCTAATTTAACCCCTAATGGGGCGTGCAGTTGTGCATGAGGCCTGCCAGAGGCGATTCACCCTCCATACTGGCACTGTCCTGGCAGTTAGGCCTCTAAACCAGTAGAGGGCGCCGTAGAGAGAGAGCGAAAAAAGTCTGTCAACGTGCATCAGCGCTTGTTTTTTGTTTGTAGGAGACTGTACAAACATTCAACAGAGACACGTACAAAGACAAAACACAGACAGGGACATTCACACACATTCGTGTTGAGGTGACTGTCGTTTGGTTCTTCTCGAAGTGACAGGCAGCAGTTCTTGAGTGAACGTTTAAATCCATAGACAGCTCCTTTCATTGCTTTAGAGTTCCTTAATGCGCCGTCCCTTGTGCTTTTCCTGTGCATCATGTTTTTGTCGGGCTGGAAGAGACTGTAAACTTTCATACGTAACAAATCACAAAAGAGAAATACATAGGTACACATAGACATTTACAGTCAGCTGGATGTGTTGTGCTTTGACAGTGTGCAAAATTACGGCACCACCAACTGTAACAAACACCAGGATGCTATTACACGTTTAACATGTAATAAACAATAACACTATAATATGGCATGAGCTCCTGTGGCATAGTCACAACACAGTACGATTTCACATAAGTGACGTGTAGACCAGAAAAAGGGGTCGATTGTTTGTGCGTCACAATCTGGGCTTGTGATCACACTTGCTTCTTTCTCATCACAAAAGAATGTGACACTTAGCTGTACAATAGATTATGATGCTTTTTCTCACGCATTAATATTGAATGTCGTCATCATCATCATTCTCAGACTGAGCATTATTGCATTTCTTTATCATTATTACTCCATTTTTCTTGTATTACTTTTCAGAGGATGAACTTGTGTGTGCTTGTCTGCGTGTTAGTCACTGCTAGGGGCTCCTTGCTGTGTCAGTGTGTGCCAGTACTCCACTTTCTTTCCTTTGTATTTTAGACACTCAAACCAGTGTTTCAGTCTCTCTCCTTTTGCGTTAATCCCCAATTCAACACCACCTGAGAAAGAGAGAGAAAGAGAGAACAATAGCAATGAAAAATAGCAGGGCTGGATGATTATGACCAAAAAAAAAAAAATCATAATGAATAATTACACTACTGTTTAAAAGTTTGGGGTTAGTGAGATTTTTTAAAATGTTTTTGAAAGAAATCTCTTATGCTCACCAAGGCTGGATTTATTTGATCAAAAACACAGTAAAAAGCATAAAATGATTAAATATCATAATGTAACCGCTTTATTCCAATATGCTGAGGTGGTGATAAAGAAACATTTCTTATTATTATCAATGTTGAAATCAGCTTTTTTTAAATCAACTTTTGTGAAAACAATTTCTTTCCAGGATTCTTTGACGAATAGAAAGTTCAAAAGAACAGAATTTATTTCTAATTATTTTAAATTATTAGAATAAATATGATGCATCCTTGCTGAATAAAATGTTTAATTTCTTTCCAAAAATAAAAATAAAAAATTAAATTCTTACTGACCCCAAACTTTTAAACGGTAGTGTATTTTAATTGATATTTTAATTGCATTTTTTTTGTGTGTTAGGCAACTGCATGCTATATCTGTCTAATATATTCTGTTTTATACTATTTTACCCTGGGTAGTAATTAGATGCTTATTTACATATTTATGAGGTTAATAACACCAAGCGGAGAGTGATGATGAGCGTGCAACATCTTTCAATACCTGCGTGTCTATATTCGCACATAAATCTGTTTTAAATCGTGTGTTTACAATGACAGTTTTAAATTTCCCAATGGACAATGTAACTAAAACAGCACATGAATATTTAATTGATGAGGTAAGCATTATGGTTGGATGGATGTTTGCCCACCATAACATTCTAGCACATGCTCTCTGCTTTTTAAAATTACAAGAGTATATTATATTACATACATACATATTGCTTATATATGTATACATAATATGTATATTTGACTGTGGCTTCTGAAGCTGAGTTGTTCTAGACACTTCAGCATGTCTCTCCTTAGTCTAACACCAGAGCTTGCTCTGAATAATGAAAGTGCGTGTGAGTATGTTGGTGGACACAAGCTGCGTTTCATTTCATCAGGCCCCTCACGTACTGAGATTCTGTCCCGCTTCGATCACTCCTACACAAACACACACACACACACACACACACACCTCACATCAATACCACATGCTCATGACCACGAGCAAGCCATGACAAATGAACCCTACGCATGACATCCCTGCCATAGGGAATGAAAGAAAAAGAAAGGAAATAGACGGGTGAAAGAAAGCGAGTTGGAAAGATCCAAGAAAATGTTAAATAAATACTAAGCTTCATTGCACTTGTCAATCCGAGACCTGCGTCCTCGGTGTGCCTTCATGCCTGGATGTCTCTCACAAGCCTCCATTCATTCACATCCCTTCATGTCTTTACACTTCTGTTGATCCCCCCCCATCCGTTCCTCAGCCATCCCCTCTAAATCAGTAACACTGACATCAATTACTCTCACTGTCCCGATCGTTACATAGCGCTCGTGTCATTCAACCATAAATAAACATGTCACAGCACAAAGCTCAAGAGCTTTTCTGTTCTAGACCCTTCCTCTGTTTCTTTTCATTAAGGGACAGTTCAGCCAAAAATGAAAATTCTGTCATCATTTACTCATCTGCATGTCTTTCGAAACCTGTATGATCTTTTTCTTCTGTGGAGCACAAAAGCAGTTATTTATAGCAGAATGTCCAGGCTGCTCTTTCATTAAAAGTGAACAGTGACCATAGCTGTTGAGCGACACTTTCAGTGATTAACGACTTAAATTTCAGTCTGTTCCTCACACAAAGTTATCGTATGATTCACATTGGACTACTTTTATGGTCCTTTGTGATGCTTTTCTGGTTTTTCTTTTTTTTTTTTTGGACCCTTCCACTTTGCTAAACTACTCCTTTGGTGCTCCAAGGAAGGAAAAAGGTTTGGAATGACACGAGAATAAGCAAATGATTAGATTTTTGGGTGAACTTGTATATAAAACTCTTTTCTTATTCTGCACAGGAAATGAGACATGCAAGTTGTAACATTCACAAACAGCACCATCTAAAAGGAAAGATCCATGTCAAAATAAGTTCAGCTCTATCTGCAGCATCTGTGGCATGCTGACAATACCAGAGACAATCATTTGAGTTGTCGCTCGGTTTGCATTTACATGGGAAGTCTATGCAGCAAAGCTTTCAGCAGAAATGTTCAAATCAAGTCACTAGCTTACATACAATGTATAAAACAGACATATTCTATAACTATTTTTTGCACTTGTATTTAATTTTTCTGCAAAGTTGTGTGTATATACAGAATGCATAAGTAAGTATAGGAAAGACACTAATCTAATGAAACAACTGTTTCTGGTATAAGTAAAGGTTTTAACAATTGTCATCAAGTGGCTTTAATTTTGAAACTGTGTGCACCTCATGTTTGGTGAAATGCTTCGCACCAAAGACTTCAAAGGAAATGAATATTTTTGCTTGTAAAACTCACCTATGAAGTCATTGCTCATGCCCAGGTCGTAGTCCCAGACTGAGATCTCCAGGGTTTTCTTGGGCAACTGATCATGTGGGACTTCATAGGTAAACTCCTGGGTTGAAGAGGACAAACATGAGTTTTGGTAGAGGGACAAAACAACATTTATATTTACAATGAGTGGTCACAAGGTGTGGTCACACTCGACTGTGAGCATGCAAAATTACGAACAACAGGATAGGCTATCACATTCTAGGGCTTCTGCTTTTAAATAAATCATGACTTTTAAGTAACAAAAATAATACAATAAAATTTGTCATATAGCACCTACAACACTTTCCCATAAATTAAAGTTTTTTGCAAAGTAAAGTTTTTATTCTTCATTTTGAGTCGAGATCAATCTGTGACTATAGAAATTCACAGGTCAAGGTTTATCAAACTTGAATTTGGTATGCAGCCAAGAATGAAACTTCTTCACTTGTGCCTGCGTTTCCGCTCGCCCACATTCACATGAATATGAATGGATTTGAACAGAGCTGCATGCAGTCTAAAGGGCTGCATGACTGTGACAATATCCTAATTGTTACGCATTTCTCCCCAATATTTTATTGTGATTGTTACTTTAGATTAAAAAGTTAACCAAGACTGCTTTAAACTCGCTTTTAAGGCCTATAGAATCAGTTAAATGCCTTTTGTTTTCCATTGCATTTGTCTGTGACTGATGCTCAACCACTGCAAAAAATTGTGTAAAAGTCATTTTAGTGCAAGTAGACTTGCTAAGAAAGGAATCAGTATTTTAAATTTTTTAATTAATTGCGAGAGCCATAATCTCAATTAATTGTGGAGCTTCATGTGACCACACCTTTAAAGGGGTCATATGATGCGATTTCAATTTTTCCTTCTCTTGGTGCATAAAGAAGATCTGTAAAGTTGCAAAGACTAAAGTCTCAAATCCAAAGAGATATTCTTTATAAAAGTTAAGAGTCAACCACA